TCTTTCCCTGACAAATTTCTACTCATTCTTTAGGTCTTACTTAGCTTAGATGTTACTTCTTCAGAGAGGCCTTCTCTGACTTCCTCCATCTAAATTATACCCCTTAGACTGTCTTTCTGATGGCCTATTCCTTTTCTTCATGATATTTACCACAATTTGTATTTATACATTTATTTGTTTAATGTCATGTTCTATTGTCAAAATTTCCGTGAGAAAAGGAACTATGTGTTTTGTTCACCAGTATGTGTCTAGCACCTAGCTCAGAGCCTGACATAGAATAGGCCCTTACTGAAAAAAATGAGGGAATAAATGACTTTCTATGAGTGGGGGTGGGATGTGAGAGGGAATTTCTTCCTCCTTAATTACGACTGTTGTTAAAGTAATAAGGCATAATCATTGGTGGAGAATCATGGGCCAAATTCTGCACTTCTTTAGATATCAAAGGGAATTTTTAGCGAAGAGCAATCAACTTAGTTAAAAAAAGATTTATGTAGGAGGTGGGACTTGGAATTATTTTCAGAATGATGAAGCAAGGCATTTCCAGTTAGGAAAGAGCATTTTAAAAAGGTACAAATATGGGCATTAGAATCTTAATAATAACAATGATAAACTGACACTGAACTTGCATGTACTAAGTGTCTGTGTATTATCTCATTTGAGAATCACTGTAACTTAAGAAAGACAGTATATAGCACGGGGATTAAAATTGCAGGTTTGGGGTTCAAATTACAGCTGAGTAATCTTGGACAAATTTAACGTCACTGTGCCTCTGAGTGCATCTGTGTGGAATGGGGATAATATAGCAACATCTCATGGGATTGCGGTGAGGATTTAAAGAGCTGGTGCATGTAAGATGCCTAGAGTGCTCAACAAATATTAAGTAGATACTGTTCTTGTTTTTTAAAGATGAAAAAACAAAGGTTTAGAAAGGTTTAGTATATTGCCTAAGGTCTCACAGCTGGTAAGTAAGAGAGTTGGGAGGAGAACCCATATTAAATACTACCATCAACTGGAAGAGACCTTAGGAATTCTTTAATAATCATCTTGCTACCAGGATATTTGAATCATATTTATAAGGAAACTCTCAAAAAGTGCTCATCTGTCAGCTTTATTGATCTTACTGTAATAGGGGTGGATACAATAGAACTTAGGTGATGCCTAAAAATAGTGATCTATATGTTCTGTCAGGCCAAAATTCAATTCAAATTAGCTTAAGCATATTATGTGATATCATAATACTATGATATGGGATGATATATAATATCATATCTTAGGGTACCATTTTTCAAACACATGTAGACACTGTTATACAAAATCAGCATACATGGAAAAGCATTGTTAAATTTGCTCAAAAGAGCTTTTTCAATATGATTTATCAATTGATGTATATTAAAAGTGTCAAACTATAATGTGGATATCCTCAAAGTATTTTGAGAGGTCTTCATACTTTAAGTTATTGGGAAACATTAGTTCAAAATAGATCTGTGTTAGCTGATATATTAGTCCCATGTCAGGCCATTGAGCACTTGAAATGTGGCTTAGTTTGAATTGAGATGTGTGGTAAGTATAAAATACAAAATAAATTTAGAAAACCTAGAAGAATATAAAATATCTCAATAATTTATATTGATTACATGTTGAAATGATAATATTTTAGATATTTAGATATGTTGTGTTATATAAATATATTATTAAAATAAATTTCACTTGTTTCTTTTTACTTTCTTAATATGGTTACTAGAAAATTTTAAATTAATTATGTATATCACATTACATTTCTGTTGGACAGTACTGATCTAGATAATATAATTGCTCTTAATTTTATCATTTCAAGACATTAGAGACTCATCAGAAATTATTAAAAGGTAATATGTAACTGTAAAATATCTTCTCTAGAAAGCTACTCTCCATGCACCATCCACCCCCTTTTCTCTGGGCTGAGTTAAAAGTTTTCTTCATGCTCCATATTTAAAAATTTTTCATTTTATTGAAGTATAGTTGATTTTCCTTCATGATCGTTTATTGCCCCTGTACTTGACTTTATGCTAGTGCTTATCACATTGTACAGGGTTCATTTATTGGTCTCTTTTGCTAGTTTGTGAGCTCTTGGGAAGGGACTGTTTTTTATTTGCACTGTCCTTAGAATTTGTGCACATGGTATGTACTCCACGATTCTTTTTTTTTCCAGGTTTATTGAGATATAATTGACATACAGTACTATATAAGTTTAAGATATCCAGCATAATGATTTGCTTTACATACATCATGAAGTGACTATGACAAGTTTAATAAACATCCATCATCTCCTGTAGGTGCACAATTAAAGAAATAGAAAAAAATTTTTCTTCTTATGATGAGAACTCCAGGAATTTACTCTCACTTTCATATGTAACATACAACAGTATTGATTATATTTATCATGTTGTATGTTACATCCCTAGTACTTAGGTATAATACATTTAATATCCATGACTCATTTATTTTGCAACTAGAAATTTGTGTTTCTTAACTTCCCTCACCTAGTTCTTTTCTTCCCCTGCCCTCCTCCCCTCTGGCATATACCTCCTTGTTCTCTGTACTATAACTCTGTTTATGTTTTGTTATGTTTGTTCATTTGTTTTTGTTTTTAGATTACACATATAAGTGAAATCATATGGTATTTGTCTTTGTCTAAATTTTTTCACTTAGCATAATACCCTCTAGGTCCATCTATGTTGTCACAAATAACAAGATTTCCTTCTTTTAATGGCTTAGTAATATTCCATTGTATGTATATATAGCAC